CCTCTCTCGCACCCACCCCAAGCTCTCCGCTGCTTTCCTGTCACGGCAAGGTGACGTGGTAGGTCTGGCTGTAGAACTGGGAGAGCGAGTGTAGGCAGGGTTTTCAGCTCTGTGGAGGCACTGTCGCTGTTCCTGAAGCTTTTAGCTCGGGTCCTGTTTTCTTAAAAGACTTTTTCCTTCTGCCCGAAAAAACCCGAGGATGGGTCTGAAACCTGTTTGTGATGGCTGACGCGGTGGGATGGTGATGTGTGCGGGGCCTCTGCTCTCCTGGAAGGGATGTGTGTCCGTAAAGGCCTCACGAGAACAGCAGAAGATGTATTTGCCCCCCAAAAGTAGTTCTGAAGCATCTTTTGCATGTAGCTTTTGACAGAAATGGCCACTTTTTCTCTTGTTTTGCTGAGCTAAGGTTGAGGGTAAGGGAAGATTTGTTTCTTTTTGCTGTTCCTTTCAATTATACTTTTATTTCCGTAAGTCATGCCTCTGGGCAAAATACGTCCTTTTCTCTGATGGCTGTTGGAAAACGTGGATTTGGCTAGTTAAAAGTATTCCTGGAAGTGTAACCATGTAACTGCCATGATGAAATTTTGATGGGAAACGCACCTTTTTTCTGTTTCTCCCCTCTCCCCAATGCTAGCTCACCTGTCCAGCTCCTCAGCAGCTCAGCTCCAGAGAGCTGATCAGAAGCTCGAAGTTCAGGCTTCTGGAACCCTGCTTCTCTGGTAGCCTGGGTTTCGTGGCTCTAGGCACATTGCCAAGGCTGGCTTCTTTGAAGTTGAGGCTCCCAGACTCCATGAGCTCTCTGGCTCTCTGCCTGCCTTGCTTGTCAGCTCTCCAGGTACCTTGGGGTGGCTCGTAAACACTTGAGACAGTTGAAATGAAATGTCCTTCAGCCTTGCTAAACTAAGCTCTTGAATTCCCTATCCAGAAATTTAGAGTCTTAGTTTTTCCTTCTATTTCAGAACGAAAGAAGCTGGATCTTCACCAAATGGGAAGGTGACTTTCCAGCTAATCTACAGCTTATGTCTGAGGGGGGAAAAGAAGCGTCTGTGCATGATTTTGCTTAGGGTGTGGTTTCTGAGTTCTTGTTTTCACTTCTCCAGCACTGGTATCCCAACGCAATGTCTGTCTTTCTGATGTTACGTATTGTTTTAAAGAAAATTAAAATTCCTGTAAAATACAAAATTCTCTGAGTTAAGTTCATTAGAAGTTTTCTACACCTTTGTGTTGGAGATAGTTTTGGTGGTATGTGTATATGAACAGAACAAGTCCAGTGAAGTAGTATGGACTGAGAAAGTACAGGAGCTGAGTCGGGATCCTGCCTGTTCTAATCCTGGCTCTGACAGGATCCCTTAAACTCCTCTGTTTAATTTTCATGTATAGAAAAAGGGAGAAAGGTCACTTTCGATGTAAATATACGGTTAAAAGGGAGACAGCGTGTGCTAGATTCTCTCCTGCCTGCTCTGTCTTAGCAATGGCAGAACATGTGTAGAGAAGCCGATTGTCAGTCTTACACTTGACAGGAAAGTTGTCTGTTCTCTGCTGCAGAAAGAACTTCTTGCAGCTGAATGAGCAAGGACTCATGCCTGGCTTGCTTCATGATGCAGAGGCTTAGTCTTAGACAGGTTATCCTATAGGTGACCTTCGAAAATGTGGGTGGCATACAGTTTCCAACAGTCCTGTGATAAATTGGAGTGCCTCTGACATTCAGATAGGTCTCTCCCTCCTAATTCTTTCCTCCAAAACAAAAAGTCCAATGCCTGTGTTCCAATATGTAATTACTTGCAGTGTGTTGGTTTTGTTCATCTTCATAGTTGCAGACTAAAGCTGTCTGGTGGGCCTTTTTTGGTCTAATTTAGCTGGCAGAATAATGGAGGAAGGAGGTTACATGGAAAGCCTTTAAAATCTTTTGAAGGGGCCAAATCCAATTCCCCTTCCTCGAGATTTTGGCAAGACTGAGAACTAAAATCGGACATAATAATGCGCAGTTCATTTAATAGCTTTTCTTCTAGTTAAAGCAACTTAAGAAAATTTTCCATGTTGTGGTAAACTTACGACTAAATCTTTATTTTTCAGTTGATCAGCTTCAGTCATAGTTATGGATTTATAAAGCAGTAGTGTTATGAAAACTATTTTTCAAAGGCCATGAGGGAGAAAATAAGAGTAAGAGCTTTTAATAAGAGTGAAACTCTTCTGTACTAGTAGTTGCAGTGTATCTGAATTATGGAGGAAATGAAGCGTTTTCTTTCTTGTTTTCTTCATCCTTTGCAAGCAAGGATGACTGTGAATGTGTTTGAACCCAGTCCCATTTAGGATGGGCACATGTGGCTGCGAGCATTGGCATACCCATTAAATCTGTTGACTACCCTGTTGCATCACATAGTTCGGTGCAATGTATGTGCGTTGCTGCGTAGGCAAATTTTCTGATGAAGAAAAAGTTTAACATTACTTTTACTAACCAGTCTTAATTCAGACTGAGAAACATCTAATAAAAATAGAATAGAATTGAAACCAACTACAGGGCAGACTCATAAACTTGCTAATGTGCGCTAGGATGTGTCAGGCGGGGGGTACAGCAATATCGATTGTGTAAACGTGCATGTGATAGCTGAGAAAAAGGAAAGCGTAGAGCTGCAGCGATAGCTACAAGTCTGGAGATTAGTCTCAGACATCTGCTTGAAGAGTTTGTACACTTCAACAAAGTGTTTTAGGATTGTAGGGTGCATTGCTAATTAAGCAGTAAAATTTCATATATGTCACTTTGTGAGATGAAATAAATGTTCTGAAAGATGCCTAGCTGCTTGCTTTGATTTTTATTGTTGGAATAAATGACAGATAATTGTCAGCCCAATGTCTGCTTACTTGACAGTAGGTTGGGTTACCTGTCCCGCTCTGTCCCCTGCTTTTTTAGCTATAGTTTAAAAGAATGTTTTTTATATGTGACCGTAGTAAACATTTTGAGTATGTGGGTGCGGTTATACGTTGAAATCCTAAATCAAGACTTGGTCTAGTATCTATGCTGACTTCAGTTTAATGTTTTCTGTGGAGCAGAGCATTTCTGTGGACACCCTCCTTTTTTGTGGCAACAAAGTGAAATACAAATGCCCAAATTTTGCTGCTGAGTGTAAGCATGAATAGTAAAGTTACTACATGGAAGCTGCTCCTGGGTACATCTGCCCAGAGCCTGGGTTCTGTAAGGGATGGGAACACAAGCAAGGCATTGCAAGACAGTTGAATAAGGGATGAATTTGCTGTCAGGCAGGTGCTGTGCTGTTCCTGACTGCATGGTTGCTTTTGCATCATGGAGCTGACTTGCTGGACACGTTAACTTACGCCCTGCTAGTTGTGTACCCGGGCCTGTAACCTCTATCAGCTTGTTAGCAAACGGTGTCGTACTTCCAGATTGCAGGCTGGAGTGTTGGGACAGCATCCTGCAGCATTTGGTGGTGGTGACCCGTTCACTAATCAGTCACATACTATGTTAACTGGTCTGTTTCTGCAACATGTCTGAAGCAAAAGTGAACCGATGGCTAGTTGGGCGAAGAGGGGGCTAGGAGTACTGCACTACTGTTCTTCACTAAGCAAGGTTTATGGCTCAAATACCCTAAAAAGACACACAACAGGAATCTGTAGTACCTGCTTTTACAGGTAGCATTCAGACACTTTCATGTCTCACACCTCTCTTTATTCCACATTCTCTTTGTACTCTTCTTTTTCTTGTGGTAACTCTTAACTATTTCGCCTGTATTTCCCTAGAATTGTTCTTCATAATGCTGCCAAAAGTGACCTACCCAGCTCCTTTCAACCCCTTGTGAAAATAACATTTCAGAAATCTTGCTCCTCAAACCCAGCAGTTAGTCTGCATTTACACCTGTATTTAAAATGGAGCCCTATTCAAAATACTTCTTTTCAGTGCAGTGTCTAAACTGGATTGTTTGAGGTGGGAACTATATTCTGTGTTCCATATAGCCCAGACCCACATGTGGAATTCCTGGACTGGATAGGTTTGATATGAAGTATACCCTGTGCTGTTTACTTACTGAGGGCTTTATTTTGAGGGGCTGCTGTGAAGCTATGTGGTGTGACAAGCCAGCAAGGTAGCTCTGTGAGTATGTCTCTGAAAGGAAGGTGCTAACCTTTCTACTATGGCTGCTTTTGGAACTGAGCCGTTGGTGGTTAGTTCAGAAATTCTTCCTGAAAAGAGAGAGATTAAAACACTTCTGTGTCTGTGAAGGCATGCTGAGTGGCTTGTGCAAGAGGGTACAGTTGGGAAGCTCGGGAGGAAAATCAGGGAGTGATGGGGAACGCTAATTTGAATGCCTCCTGTTCTTCCCTGTGTTGATTCTTATCTGGAAGAGGAGTATTGTTGTGCCTGCTAGAGGGGGAACTGTAATACGGATCCAAAAAAGTTGCCCGGGAGCCTAACTGCAATTGAAGGCAGAGGGAATTGCATCAGCTTTTAGGCCAAGGAAGCTGCTGGTCCCACCTGGGACTTGTAAAATTAATACATCTGCTGGGAAGGAGTATTCCAAAACCTACCAGTCTTGGCCAAAACTTGTTCTCCTGCATGTGAGGACCCAGTGTTAACTGTTGATTCTCGACTCCCACAAAGTTGGGAGTAATTTATTAATCTGAACTAACTACTGAATTACGTTGCTGTTTTTTTTTTTTTTTTTTTTTTTTTTTTTTTATTAAATTTTTCTTTTAATTATTACATTGTCATACTAGAACTCCCAGGAGTTTGTTTTTCCCTGCTACTTGGGCCCCTAAGAGATATCCAAGCACCGATTTGGCAGGTTTTCTGATTTTATTTTATTTTCTGTAAATAAAAAGGTACAAATTCAAGTCTGGGCTTTAGTTTTACATGAGATTATCTTAGCGGAAGTGAACTGTTCCCAGCTTTTTTGGCCAGCTTATTGGTGTGATCTGAAATTGCAGAGCATTCACTTGCTTCTAATCTTTTAGCTAAAGTTACTAAATGTAGTTTTGTCTTTTTCTTGTAGTAATGAATGTTATAACAATTGAAGACTATAAGAGCACATATTGGCCAAAGTTGGATAGTGCCATAGATCAGCTTTTAACTCAGAGTCCTGGTGACTACATCCCTATCTCCTATGAACAAATATACAGGTAAGGAAATCTTTTAAGTGCTATGTTAGTTTTTTTCTTTAAAGTTAAATGTCTGTTTTATCTTGCAGCCTATGCATATGTCATATTTGTATTTACGAGGAGGAAAGTGGGAAGGTTATGTGAAGTACAATATTGTTTAAATGGTTGGAATGAGTGAATAATAGGTACATATTTTGACATCCCATGTTAACAGGAATAAATGCTAAAGAATTAAAATGCATAAGTGCTGAAAATGTTAACATTAAAGTAAACTCCACCACAGTTGCTTAGTGTAATATATTAAGAAATGTATTAAAGTCTCAACAGCCCTTTCCTCAAAGGGGAAGAAGAGACTGGCATGGTAGGCATTTGACTTAACGTTTCAAAAGGCTTCTTTGTCATGTCTAATAGGAACCACTTTGGTGCAGTAGAGGTGCAGAAGTAAATAGAAGCAACTGGTGCCAAGGTCCATCTGTGTAAACTTGCCATTTGTGTGTTCTGCATCAGGTAGATTTGGTCTGATTTCCCCCTTGCCCAGCCATCCCGCTGCAGGTGCAGTTAGAGGCTGTCTGAAGGACTGACACAAGGTTCAGTCCTTATCTCCATTCTTGTCTGGAGAACATGTGGTTTGTACCTGGCCTGGAGCTGCAGTTTACTTTGCTTTAAAAGGGATCTAGCCACACACCAGAACTGCCCTGCAGACCAAGCTAGTGCACAGTAGTGGGGATGGTAGGGGACTTGCTTCAAAACCATACTACTGCTCCAAACCAAAGTGCTAAATGCTTTAGAGACCTGGCAGTTTCTTAGAAGACTGGCGAAAATGGAGATTTTTGTTCTGTAGGTGATAGGTATCCAGGGTGTTGGTAAATAGGATGGAAACTGGATAGCTGCTGCTGCATTTACTGGCCAAGATGCCATTAAAACTACTGGCCTTTGCCAGCAACAGAACTAGTAGCACGGCTGTCCTGGTTTTCTTGACCATAGTGTTGCGCTCTGTGAAATAACACTGGCAGCTCAGTCACTGGTTGCCCTTTTTAGAGGCTTTCAGCTCTATTGTCTTCTGCCTGCTTGCTCTTAGCCTCTTTCTCTCTCTAGTTTGAAACTTGGGATTAGGGAACCAGATCCAAGAATGGCAGGTGTTTCGTCTTTCCTCTTAACTCCAGTTAAAAACTTTAATAAACTTCCTCTTTCGTCTCCAAACTTTTGGCACTGCTCTTATCAGGACTCAGACATCATCATGTGTATAAATAATTGAGATGGTGAATTTGAATTGAGGGATATTTTGCAGCTTTAGTGTAAGTAATCCAAATCCTTTTCCTAGCTCGACATCCCCAATTTGCAAACAGCTGTCAGTGAGAGTTAAGCCAACATATCTCGATAGTCATCTCTGATAAAGAGTAGGTGTGCAAAATTAATGCTTTAATACCTAGAGGAGATCTATACCTAGTTATGGTTTTCAGATAACTGCAGTTCATCTTTGTCATCTTTTTACTGCTTGAAAGTTTTATTTATTAAAGGAATAATGGGTTTTATGTTTCTCGTAGATAACCCTTATACATCAGGGTGACACTTGATGCAGTATTGTAATGGTGCACAGATGTCTGTTGCATGTATTTTACCAAAAGAAAAGATTGTCTGTAGTTTAGTGTTACTGATAAAGCTTTTGTGTCAGTTTAAGTTTACTTCCGAAGATTTTATCTGTGGATGTAATTACTCTGACACAGCTTCTTCCAACTAGGAGGGTTTTTTTATTTACTTTATTTTAGAGAGTGTCCCTTTGCTTGTCTTACAATCTAGACAACATAGATTGAGAATGGAAGAAAAACAGCTTTTTTTGTTGAATTTAATGATGATGCTTGCTTGGAGTATTACAGAAAGTCTGTAGCAGACCTGAGGTTTAGATCCTCTCTGCCTCCCTAGGCTAGTTCTTTAGTCTGAAAATGAGGTGTTTTTTGAAGTGGTTCAGACAGCCGCATATCTTTTATCATTTTTTCACAGTGAAACTGAGCTGAAAATACAGTGGTCTTTTTGATCGTCTTTTGTGCTGACTAAAGGAATCAAGGTTTCCATAATGCAAACTCAAAATATATCATCAGATACCCAAACTACTGGATTTGACACAATCAGTGATAACTGTAGGTGTCTAGTCCACAGCAGTGAAAGCTAGGAGATAACTTCAAAGGTGTGTATGCAGATATTTACTATGGATCGGTTTACCCATAAGGTATCAAAGTGTGATTAGTGACTGTTTTCACCTTTGAGCCCGAAGCCTGCCTGTGCATAGTCACTTCCTATTAAAAGGGTTAAATGTATTGACAGAGAGATGTGAAGGAAACTTTGAGATGAGGAATGTGTGAGCAGCTAAGTGGGTACTTTTGGCAGCTGTTAGGACTGCCTCCCAGGTACAGCGCAGTTAGATCGCTCTTCTTCAAGGCAGCTTACAGATCTCAGATCTTCATCCCTCAATAAATGCTTACTTTCTAACATCCTGCTTGGGTCTTCCTTTTCTTAAAGGTGTTTGGTTATGCTAAAAGCTTAACAAGCTGCTGACTTTTGGGTAATAGCAGGGCAAGGATGATTCACAGAATCAGCCCACAATCAGGAACTGAAAACAGGATCTGAAAATGGGGAAGGAACCCCTAAATAGAAGTGTTCAAATGAAATGTAAACATGCTCTGCACGTACATGTGAAGATTGGTGTTTGACTACAGAATGCATTGCAGAAGTAGGTATACCAATACTGTATGTAATACAAAGCAGATGTATACTTTAAAATCCAGTTTAGTTACATTGTTGCAAATGAAGGGGTCAACTTGTGGAAGTGGCTATATACCGGTTAGTTACGGAGCAAACAAACATACAGCCATTTGCTGTTGTTACCTAGCTGGCTGGTTTCCAAGAGATCACAAGAATCAGTCTGGATTTTCTTATCAGTGTTTCTCTCTTTGATCCAAATTAAATTGGTATTTTTGCTATTACTGCATCATACCAAAATGTTTTTTGCACTTGTTTGTTCCAAAATAGGATCTATTTGCAGACTTCATGTAAAAGAAACAGGACTACTTTGACTGTTGTTTAGATAATATCAAACTATAGATACAGTTATTCTCAAAATATAATAGTAGGAGAGGTATGGAAGGTCTTTTGGTTTTTAAGATATAGTGTGGTTTGCCAAATGAGAAGACTTTGCGTAGGGATGAATGCTGTATTTTTGGTGCTTTTGAAATTGTCAAAGGATATAAATACAAACTTCTGAAAGGTAAAGGAATGTTAAATCTGTTACTGATAATTCACTTGTAAATCAAGTGTCTTCAAATAATGCAAAGCCTTCCAGAAGACTTTGAGAGTGGCAGTTACTGAGCGAGAGCACTGTCCTGGCCCCTGAAGGCTTGGAGTTGGTGCCTAACCTCTCACCTGCATTAGAAAATTCCAATAGCCCGTAGTCTACCGTTGTTTTAATCCCATCTTTGCAGTTTGTCATTGCACCACCTTCTCAGTAGAGAGTTGGAATGTCATAATTCCCTTACAGAGACACAGTGTTGCTGTACCGTAGCTTTAGGCTTTTGGTGCTGTTAAAAACCTGCAGAATTCAAGTCTGGGGTCTGGACCTTGCTGGAAATTGTTTGTGCATGCCCTAAGGAGCGGTCTCTGGCCTGAATTGCTTGCTGTCACGGTACTCTGTACAGAGGGATGGAGGGAGGGGGAGCAGGACAGAGGCCATGGGGAGGAGATTTGGCTTGCCCAGGGTATCAGGTGAAGTCTTCCTTCTGCCTCTTGATTTTTGGCAGCTAGCTTTCAAAATGCTGACTTGAAATAATGAAAGCAGTCAAGAGGAGTAAAAGCTGCTTAGTACAGATAATGTCGGTGTTAATCCTGACAATGATGGCTACCTTAATGTAACTTCTTGCTGAAAATAATATATGTATTTGTTTTACAACTGTAGTAAGTATGTTTTCAATACATAGCCTTATTTTGCAGATATGTTATATTGCAATATGAAAACAGTACAATGTTCTTAAAAAACAAAGGTAACGCTGAAGACCAGAGTTAATACAGCCAAGCCATAGAATGTAGAATTCAAGTTTTGTTGCTCTTTCTATGCATCTTAGTTTATTATGAAGGATTTTCTTAGAATTTAAGTAACAAAGGTTGGAGTAACACGCTTGGGTCTGTAATTTTAGAACTTTTAAAACACTAGCACGGTTTTGGTGCAAATTCTGTGACTGCTTGTCAGTGTTGCCCTTCTTTTAATAAGGGTTTTGCCCTAGAATATGCATATAATCATTAAACCTGCTTATTTTAATGGAGACTTCATTCACATAGGAGAGACAAAAGCCAGAATTAGGAGTCTGCTGTTAACAGAGTTATCCTGGCTGTTCTGAAGTGCACTGTTAAGAGAACTCATTGTCAGTTACAGTGAGGTTGGGGAGGGGGAATGGGACGGACACACTGGGGCCTCCAGGGGAGACTTAAGAGCCTGCTGGAGCTCATTCCAAGCTCAGGGCTGTATTTAAAAGTTCAGCAGTCGTTCAGTTATAACTCTGTTACCCTCTAAACTGAGACTTGAACAAAATATTTTGAAGTCTGTTGCCCTTCATTGCAAACTGTTGTAAGTTCATTGTTTGTTCCTATATTTGTTTCTGCAGTTGTGTGTATAAGTGTGTATGCCAGCAGCATTCGGAACAGATGTATAGTGACCTAATAAAAAAGATAACTAACCACTTAGAGAGAGTCTCAAAGGAGCTGCAGGTAAGAAGCTGCACAATCTAATTCTGTCTTTCCTGGGATCTGTGATTATATCAGAGCAGCATGTAGATGGCCCATGGAGGGGATTGCCATTAAGACTGATTTACACTAGCTCACTAAATTGTGGACTACTTCATTCACTAAATGGCTGTCAGACAGAATACCAGCTACTAGACCCAGTTGTATGGCACTGATTAGCCTTAGAGATCTGAACCACATGGAAAGCAGTGGCTAAACTTCAGTATGTAATATAGAATCAAAGACTGGAGAACGGGAAATCTACAGTGTAATACAGGATGTAAATGCTTCAGTCAAACGTGATCTGCGCACATGACATGGATGTCTGCCATTGCTGTGTTAATCTGTTTAAATGGTTTATGATCCTTGTGCATCACAAGCAGCACAAAAGGGAAAATCTAAAGAAAAAAAAAAGGTGTAGTAATTAAATATGAATTGTGAAGTATAAATTAGGCATTATTGCCTATGAAAGTTTTGTGCTACAGTTTATTCTGCATTTTTCTTGCCTATCTCTAGATGTCAGTGGTTTACAGCAGTCCTAATACAGATTGTACATCCCTATCCTTCTTTGCATCTTATTTGTGCATCCATGTTTGTTTTCATGTGTGTTCCTTGTTGAAAATTCCTTTTAGGCTAGAATCTCCAGACATGTTCTTGAAATTGTCATTGCTGTAGCAGCAACACTACAGCTTTTGTCACTTCCATGACTGATGTTTGAGTTCTGTATGGACTTGCAGTGTGTCAAGCAGATGCCAAATACAAAGGAACCCTAAACTGGAGCAGGTCCTTCACTGCTTCTAAAAACTGGTAACTAATTTGTCAGTCAAAAGCAGTCTTGCTGCTTTTAAATGCGTCAAGTCCTTCTGGCTAAACGTGCATACCCATCAAAATATATAGCACTGCGATCGCTCTGATGTCCTTCTCGTTTCACTCTTTTCCTCTTGTTGCTTTCCTTATAAAGAAAAACAACCACCCTGCATTTAAAGGGCACAGTCTTTGGGGCAAGCTTTGACTGAAAGATAACTACATTATCTTGAGCTAGGTTCTTTGCTTCTTTTCTCTTTTACAATTTTTTTTATTCCTCGTGGAATGACAACCTCACTGTTTTGTAAAAATTGGTTAGAATAGGTGGACATAGTATTTAAAATAAAACCTTCGCTTAGTTCTGCTGAGCTGGTGCAGCCTGCACATTTTTCTTCTGATTGTGAGAACTACGACTCATTGCAGTTGTACAGGTCTGGCCAGTTCTTCTGATACATCCCATGGCAGTGTACTGCACTACTTTGCTTTGAATTTGGGAATACCCCAAATTCTTTACTCTGTGGTAGTCCTTGATTGTTTTCAGTAAAGTTCCGAAACCAGGGCAGCCACTTTTAAAGTTTGCTTTAGCACCTATGTGCATTAAATGCTTCTGCCTAAAAACAAGACTGCCTTCTGAACATCAGCTGTTGAAAGAATAATGCAATCTTTGTCTTGCAAAAGTTTCCTTACGTAGGTTAGACACACCTTGTGGTGGGTGGCAAGAGGACTGTAATATAACACGATATCATCTTTGAGTGTATTACATGAGTTTTGTCTGATGCGAACATGACTTTGGTTTTGGATGGTAAATCCATCTTTTGAGCTGCTTGAAGTAAAACTCGTGCCTTAGAAAATTGTCCGGCAAAGAAACTGTTTTAACTGTGGGTTGTGAAATTTGCTCCTAAGAAATTACTTTACTACAATATATACAATATATATCCTGAAGCTTCTTTGATCTTAACACATTTCGGTGATGCTCAGTCACTTGGGTTCTGTGTTGAAAATGTGGTGCTAGATCTTTATTCTAACAACAAATTACTTCATAAATGTTGGTCACTTGGAAGTTTCTGGTTCACACAGGCAAACAATAAAAAAAAAAGCTATGTGTGCGAAACCTTTTAATGCACAATATATGGTGTTTTGCTTTCTCTGACATAAACTCATTCCACCTGCCAACAATATTTAATCTATTTGCAGAGTTCTGTTTAATTGGCAAGGTGTGACTTGATGCAAGATGAGGTGGTTTTGGTTTTTTTTTCTTTTAACATGCAGAGATGCAAATGTAGCCCAATACAAGCAGGAATGTTTGTGTGAGAAAGCAGATGATCATGGAAACTGAAATGGCAGGCAAATGCAATGTCTTATTCTGGACAAGCCGAGCAACTTCTTTGCATAGAAGTGCAACAGTTTAATGGCAGGTGGATTGCAGAATTATTTGCATGTAACCAACATTCCAGAGCAAGCTGTTACCTACAAAAACCATTCATCAACAGTAAAAGCAGTAAAACTGTCAAATACCGAATAGTAAAAGTGGGAACATCTCAGGGGACCAGTCAGACTTGTTCTTGCATGGTTTTAGCCTTATTGGATTTTGTCTTCTTTCTGCATGGCATTCACTGCAGAAACTCCCTTTCTTTTTTTCTTTTTTGTCGTTGTTGTTTTTCCTCTCCCCTGTTTGCTTAGCCCTCAGCTTGCCTGACCAGCTGGCCTCAGCTGAAGTCAGCAGAGTGGCCGGCACTCGGGTGTCCTGAACCGGGTGTCCTGGTGCTGCTGTCGGGGCCCCGTGGTCACACAGGGGCATGCACACGTTCCCTGGTCATCCCCTGCGTGACTTCTGCTCTTCCAGACTGCAGGACACCTTCTGTGGCATTGGTGCTTGTTGCCATGAGCATTCCTGAAGGTCTGCTTCACAGATTTTCACCTCAAAAAAATTAATTTTCAGTGGTGGCAGAGGCATTATGAAAAAGTGGGTGGGCTGATGTATTCTCTGCATGTTAGACACTGGGTGAAAAGCAGTGAACGTGGCCTGCTGAATGATAGTACATTTAGATGAGATGAATTGCTTGTCATCAGACCATCAGCTCCTTGGTATGGGGCCTCCTATATCCCAAGACATTTCTAGCTCCCTCCTTACTGTGTGTGTAAGTAAATGATTCTCTCTCCAGGCTGTTTCAGTTATGGAGAGACTCTGAGCAAGGATTGCCTTCCATTCTTGCAATCAATGTCTTGACCAGCTTCTCTGCATTGGTAAGACTGAGTTTTGCCATGTGGAGCTTCCAGTAATTGAGAATTAAATTTCCCCAATTTTTGAGTCGATCAGAATTTTGGATTTTGTGTGCTTAAAAAAACATAATGGGGGGCTGCAGAAAACACAAATGAACGTGTTTCCTGTTGTCTTGAGGTCTGTGAAGCCTGTAGTATACAGATGATTTTTTTCCAAGATGCTTTATTTGGAAACATTTTATTGGTAATGGACATAGCCCATTTTGTTGTGGTTTAAAATAATGACAGCTGTGTTTATGGGTAAGTGCCGAGTCATTCAGATGTATGAGATAGGGTGGATACACAGGCATATGGTTTCAAATTAAATACATCTCTCTAAAATGAATAAAACTATATTTGCATTAGGTACTAGTGTCTTTTGCTTAACTTATTCTTATGCACTCCGATAAAGTCATTTAAAGTCAAGTACTCTGCCCATTACATACCTCTTCAGCAAAAGACACTGGAAAGTACTTTAAACACTGACAATCAAAATGCACCAAGGCATTGAGCTGGCCCATGACAAAAGTAGCTTGTTTGTGCAAGTGCAGTGGAATAATTTCATTTTAGTTAGAATAATCTCAGTAATTCCTTTAGGAAATGACTGAGAGCTGAAAAGCAGTTCTTTGTCATGTTGCACTCTGTTTTATTTAGAGAAAAGAGAAAAAGGGATCTATTGTTTTCTGTTTGTGTGTGGTTTATTTTTTTTTGTCTTGACCAGGAACAGTTGAATTCACTAACTGTATGTAATTTTTATGGTCATTGAAGTTAAGTGAGAATTAGTCTTTGAATAAATGAACACTGGTTTGCTTGCACTGTTTCTATTTTAAATCAAACGGAAGTGGTAGAGCTAAAACACCAGAATTTCTTGCTTAAATTCCTTCTGTCTAAAAGCATTGGATTAAATTTGGAGCCAATTGCTGATAGCATGCTTTGGCTCTTGAACACTCCAGAGGGCTTGGGGTTTTTCTCCTCTATTATGTCTTGAGATACGTACGAATGTGTGTGGGGTTTTTTTTAATTATGAACAATATATTTTTTTATAGTGAACATGACTGAACTGAGCAGTCACTGGTGTTAGTAGATAATTTGCATGGCTGTGTAGCCTCCACGACCTGCAGATTTAGGGTCTTTGCTGTGCAATGCCAGAAAGCTTTCCTGCCTCATATTAATCCTTACAACTTCTCAGCCTTCTGTCTTGAGAGCTCTCAAACCAGTCGGTGCAGAGTATGAAAATATCTTCTCACTTATTGTTTCCTTGGAAGAATATGCATTGGAGTCCGGTTACTGTAAAAGCCATTCTGCTATTTTTGAGGACTGCCAAATCTCTGGGAACTGAGTGCCTTGTATCACATCACTGTCAGTTGCCATCTGTTCTTAAAAATGTCAGCAATATCTGTTGTGGACAATCTGTTCCTTCCTTGCCTTTTGCTTTTTTCTTTTCTGTCTCACGTTTACCTTCTTGTCCCCTGTGATTATATGGAGTTTTGCCATCCAGCGGTGAGGAGCCTGTTATTTTCTGCCCCAACTTTTTGAAACATTAATCTGATAAATACAGATGCCTTACTCCAAACTCTAGATTAGGTTCTGAACTTCCTTATTTGTCTTTTAGAAACAGTTGTGTAACTTCCAGTATTTCTCCTGATTACAGGAGTAAAAGCATGAAGCTTAAGTGGCTTGACATATTTACGTTGTGAGCTTTGCATATAGTCAGAGTGGTGTAAAACTGAATCCAAGTAGTGCTTTGAGGGACTGGTAAAACTGAACTTCTAACTGCAGAGTTATGTACTGGGTACCACCTCATGGCAATTCTTGGTATTTATACTTTAAAGTAATTTTACCCCAGATTGTTTTGTAGATACATTTTGCTTTCCTTCCAAGGTACAATGATGATTACATTAACTTTATATAGCGCTATATTG